GAGGAGTGGAGGTTCACTGGATTGTGGGGGTGAGTATGAAGGTGGGGAGGGTTGGAGATGGGAATGGGAAAGACAGTAGAATGAATCAGACATAGGTTTCCTATATTCATATATGAAGACACAATCAGTATAACTCCACATAATGTACAACCACAAGAATGGGAAGTCATACTCCATATATGTATAATATGTCAAAATACATGCTACTGTCATGTATAACTAAAAAAAAAACAATTAATTAATTACTTTAAAAAAAATTTATGTATGAAACACAGAAAGGATAACTGGCCCACAGGGCATCAATGTAAGATTTAACTTAGTAAGAACTGTGATATGATTTATCAACCTTCTTTTTAATATTTATAGTCAATTTTACTGTATGTATGATATGACTAAGTATTAGTAATTTCAGACCTAATCATGTCCTTTCAGGGGGGTACCAGGGATTGAACTCAGGGACACTCAAACCCTGAGCCACATCCCCAGCCCTATTTTGTATTTTATTTAGAGACAAGGTCTCACTGAGGCTGGCTTTGAATTTACAATCCTCCTACCTCAGCCTCCCAAGCCACTGGGCTAATTATGTTCTTTTGACCTAAATTTTATTATAGTAGGATACACATAAAATTTACTGTCTTTAAAAATGTGTGTGTGTGTGTGTGTGTGTGTGTGTGTGTGTGTGTGTGTGAATGAGAGAGAGAGAGAGACCGGGAATTGAACTCAGGACCTCACAAATACTAGGAGAGTGCTATCACTGAGCTAGAGCCCCAGACCCCACTTTAATCATTTTTAAGTATATAGGTCAGTGGGGCTATAGCTCAGTGGTAAAGCATTTGCCTAGCATGTGTAAGACCCTGGGTTCAATCCCACACAAAAAATAAATAAATGAATAAAAATAACTCCTCATTAGTGTTTCACACCTGCCCTTGATGACCACCATTCTACTTTCTGCTTCTAACTTTGATTACTCTAAATACCTCAAATATATAGAAATATGTAGTATTTGTCTTTTTATGACTATATTATTTTACTTAACACAATATTCTCAAGTTTCATTCATGTTGTAGCATGTCTGAATTTCCTTCTGTTTTAAGGCTGCATATTCCATTATAATGTATATATATACTTTTTTTTTTTTTAGTCCATCCATCCATGGACCCTTGTGTTGCCTTCATGTTCTAGCTGCTATGCAAAATGCTGCTGTGAACACGGATATAAAAACACCTCCTTAAGGCGC